CACAAAAATGGAAACTTTACAGCAACCCGTCAAAAAACAAGCAAACAAACAATGGTTTGGGTGGGAGAAAGAATGTGTGCTTTTCATAGGTAATAAAAAGTAATAATATGGGGATTAGCTATATTTATTTGCTTAGTGTGTATTTGGGTTTTGGCTCTGCTGTTGTCCGGATTAGGGGATAACAGCAGAACTCTGAGAAGCATTTCATCCAAAATAGCGGACAATCTGAAGGTCTTTTATGCATTTTATGTCATGAGCGCTAATTGTGCCACTTGTTGCCATCCATGAAGAGTTGTTCAGAGTGGTTATTCATATTCAACAATCAACACACTCAATTCCTCCAATCAGAAACAAGCTAGAGTGATGGCACTTGATCTGCACATGATCAGTAGGATTCTCTCTCTGCCTGTGAAAAAAGGAGCACGATCATTTCACCTCAGCAGGTGAAATCTCTATTTTTCAATAGAATACTGATTTTGAGGTATGAAACTAACTTTTTGGATGTACAGTATTTTTTGTTTTCTGTCTAAAGTTTGGCTGACTGCGAATTTAAACTTGCATAGATTTTATCTCTAGGTTATTGATAAAAAATTAACATGAACAACCTATGCTAATATAGGTGTGGCTAGCTAGCATACGAGATTTCATCAAGGCTGCAATTCTAACAATGTGTTACACACATGGCCCAGTGTCAGCACCTTGTTTTTCTGTGCTGACATACTTTTCTGTTGGAAAATGAACATATTTAAATGTAAAACTACATTTAAAAATGAACATTAAACAATTTGTTGCTTTTACATTTAAAAAAAAAATACATGAATATTATCTCCACATGATCTCATTTAGTTATTCTGTTAATATGTCTATCTTGTACCATTTCATTAAAGTTTAGTTAAAGATTGTTCTTGACTCATCAGCTGATTAATGTATTTGAGTAAAATATATATTTAAACAATTAAAATCTAGTTAACACTAGAATAGTTGCCTAGTCTTTTGAAAAAATAGAAATAGACTTTTGCTCTTTGAAAGCATATGATGTCTTACATCTAAAATAATTGAACCATAAAAAAAAAACATAAGTAACATTATTAGATACTTCAGCAGTAAAGTGATTAATTTGAGGTAGGCTTTTATTTGAGATACAGGGGGTTAATATGACTTATTTTTCTGTGTTACAATCGCCCCCACCAAGGGAAATGTAAAACGTAAAAAGGAACATGTAAAAAATGTTACAATTGCCCCCAGTCTCCCCTATCCAGTGTTATTTTAAGTTTGGTTTCTGCATTCAGTTTCTGTTTCATAACCTGAATATTATTGTTAGATCTGCCTGTTAAATGTCTAAAGTGGGCTATCAAAATAAAGTGTTAACAGAAATGATCAAATGTCTGTCTGGGAAAGAATGGCTACTGAATGAAGCGGTCAACTTGTGCATAAATCATTGCTTCCTAAACATATGTATTAAAACTATACAGGTGCATCTCAATAAATTAGAATGTCGTGCAAAAGTTCATCTGGAGCAACAGTTTTCCTCAGTAACCACTTCATGCTGTCGATGTGCTGAAGACTACAGAGTGTTTGCAGCACTCTTTGACGACTACACTTATTTGAGAGTCAAATGCACAGATTTTCATCCATAATGAAGTTCATAATTTTCTTTATCTACGTACCTTTTGTTTACTCAGGTGAGATTCATCTCATAACATCATTTAAAGATTGAATTCTCTGTCAGCTAACCAAGTAAATTAGTTTTCAACTAATATTTATATTATATTTATTATTAATTTTGTTTTATTTCAGTTTCATTTCAATAAACAGAAATGTTTTTATTGGTTTTAGTTTTTGATAATATCCCTTGTTGAACTGACAGACATTTCTAATCTGATTTTTTAAATCTAATTTTCAATTTATTTCAATTTCAATTTTAAAAACAATTTATTATTATTATTAATTATTAATTTATTTATTACCCTTTTTAGTTTTTTTAATACATTTTTTGTCTATTCTTTATACAGTCCTATGTAAATTAATCCATTAACTGCCCCCCCCCCTTTTAACAAAGATCCATAGATTCATGAACACTTTGAAATACAGACGTAAGGTTGGTCTTTTTAACAGAGACACACTGCAGATTATAAGCACATTAAAGGGGTCATATGATGCTTTTTTAAAGATCATTATTTTGTGTATTTGGTGTAACAGAATATGTTGACA